GAGCTGTCTACATACATACTACTAGAGAGGAGGAAATTGCCCACACCCGAAGGATCTGCACTCCTAAAATTATAGAGCGAATGTTTATTCCCGCAAAAAAAAAAAGCAGGAAATGTTGCAAAATACTACAAATTCCATGATTTGCTTTTTGCCTGACACCATAATTTGTCCCACATTTATATTTTATCGTTGTCATACGAAATATTTACCTGCATAAAGTTTATATTATTAAAGGTTCACGTTGTGTTGGCTTCAGGAACACTTCGAGCTTTTTACTTGTGCTATAGTGTGCCGCAAAGAGGAAAAGCAAAGCTTGGCCTTGAACGTCTGCGATGGAATGACCAATATTGAACTGCTCTACGTTCGGCATGCTAATGATTCGTGGAAAACATTTGCACGTAGGCTCTTTTTTTTTGCCTGCTAAAACATCTACTTACGTGGGTGCGACGCCACAGTTTGTCATTGATCGTATCTCCCACTTCCAGTTATTGCGTGCACCGTAGTCTTGACCTTGGGAGGCTGTACGTAACCGCAGTAATGTGACGACCGAAGCAGTGATGGCGCAGAGAGTACATTTACTGGATAGCAAACTTACGACGTTAACAGTATGAGTGCTTGAGTAAATGCTTTACTTTGAGTGCGCACCACGAGAGCTGGTACGGACGTCAACGGTTGGTATTATATTTTCAAATAAAAGGGTGGACATTTTTAACGATTGCAATGTGCCCGCTTTTCTTTGAAGGCGGCGTACTAGAAAGCGTTACATATGTTTGACACCTAACAGGTCAAAAAAAAAAAGGATTACTGGCACCAATGATTGGTTTGTCATTTGTTTCTTTTTTCTATTGATTCCTGTCTCCTCTTACCCTTTCCACATAGCAGGGTAGCAAACGAGATATTTTGCTTCTGGCTGACCTCCCTGTCTTTTCTTCAGCCTATTTTCCTCACGTTCTCTGTAGTCTTCAAAAGTAAAAAAAAAAGAGAGATGCGTTGTTGGTGCAATTCTTAAGCGTGTACTTGTGTTCAGATATATTAAATGAATCGCCGTACAATGTGCTAAATCAAAGACCATCATGTAAATATTGCGGCAACGTCAAAAGCAAGTAGTTGTACACCTGAACACATCACGACCTTCAGATTATGAGACTGATTATGAGATTACGAGATTATGAGATTATGATTATGATTATGAGATTATGATTATGATTATGAGATTATGATTATGATTATGAGATTATGAGATTATGAGATTATGCAGCCGCCCGGCTGCGGCGGCTGCATTTCCGATGGAGGCGGAAATGTTGTAGGCCCGTGTACTCAGATTTGGGTGCACGTTAAAGAACCCCAGGTGGTCTAAATTTCCGGAGCCCTCCACTACGGCGTCTCTCATAATCATATAGTGGTTTCGGGACGTTAAACTTCACATATCAATCAATCAATCACCTGAACACATCGACCTGGTGCAGGTCTCCGACAAGGAGTTTTCCGGATCATGTTGCAAGCTTCAGACTCTCTATCTCTCTTGCATCATAAAAGCAGAGGAAGTGGAGCTCATATCCAGAATAGCTGTGGATTGTAGTCATTCTTACTGTGCCTTAGGGATTCGTTTGTTCTTGTGGCTTCCATAAAACCTGGGACCAAATTCTCAATATTTCCCTGCCAGAATTGCGTTTCCAGTTGGTCTGCCTGATGCGTTATTGGGAAGTCCCGTGTTTTTATAAGCTGAAGTATCCTTTTAGGAAGATTTTCAGCCATTCGCAAACACCGGCACTGATGTAAATCAGCATTGTGCTCATCTGGATGGAGGTATAGCAGAACGAAAACCGAGTGAATTGCTTCACGGCAGCGTGTGTTGAAAAACACAAGTGTCGAAAACACAAAAGGGTCCACAGAACAGGAGAGATAAATCCAGCCTGATCGTGTTTAGACACTTGTTGTCGGTTTTAGATAAAATATTGTTATGTAATTTTTCTCTTTCATGATTGCCTTTAGTAATCTTTAGTAGTCGTGTTCATTGCCTTTAGTAACCTGTGGAATACGACTCTCACAGAAGTGTACATTCTTGTGTGGGGAAAGCGGGGGAGTGTCGGGCCGATGGGTTCTTATCTGCAGCACGCACGGTGGAAGCAAGGCGAGGAGAAATGCCGGTTGGAGGCGGCATCTAAAGCGAATTGATGGCTCGCATCCCACTGCGACCTGCATGTCAGTTTGCTTTCCTGCCATTATGTCTCGCGCCAGTTTTTTTGGCAGTTATGTTTCGTGCCGTATGTTCCATTGACCGCCAGTCATATATATATATATATATATATATATATATATATATATATATATATATATATATATATATATATATATATATATATATATATATATATATATATATATATATATATATATATATATATATCATCATCATCAGCCTGACTACGTCCACTGCAGGACAAAGGCCTCTCCCATGTTCCGCCAGTTAACCCGGTCCTGTGCTTGCTGCTGCCAATTTATACCCGCAAACTTCTTAATCTCATCTGCCCACCTAACCTTCTGTCTCCCCCTAACCCGCTTCCCTTCTCTGGGAATCCAGAGTTACCCTTAATGACCAGCGGTTATCTTGTCTACGCGCTACATGCCCTGCCCATGTCCATTTCTTCTTCTTGATTTCAGCTATATATATATATATATATATATATATATATATATATATATATATATATATATATATATATATATATATATATATATATATATATGCTAGGTAATAATGGCTAAGTGTAAACAACTTTCACATGGAGGATGCCGATGGATGGATGGATGGATATGCCTGCTGTACCCGTTCGATCGGGCGGTGGCTAGCGCCACGAAGCCGTAATACCTAATGAACCAAAAACTAGATTTATTTTTTTCCCTTTAAATAGTGAGGTTGAGGATTCGTACTTTTCAGTGAAGGGTTTAATTTTCACTCGTGCCTTGACTTTAGCCACCAATCAGATAACCTCCTTCTAGCTATTTTTCCGCCACAGCGCCGTCTAGCGTCTTTGCTGTTTTGCCGCTGTGTCGGTCGATGTGCGGGGATCTACGGTAGTGTATACAGCGTATGCGCACGTACATATAGGGTATTGCTCTTCTTCGCGGTACAACGTCGAAATATAGCAATGATTCACGAGTGTAAAAGCTCTAGTAAGTAATCTCTAAGCTTTCAGCTTCGGAAAGGCTGAAACAGCAAGCAGCGACTACAAGACGTTCTCGCAGTGATGCCGACGATAGACAGGAGCTGAGGAGAATTTCGATGAGTTCTTTAAGCCGCACGTGTGAATAGGTAATTGGTTAGTACGTTTCGTTATAGCTGGCCTTGTGGGGATCTGGGGCTATGCACTAGTTTTAAATTTTCGGGCAACTCTGAAAGTAGTGGGCAAAACGTAAATGAAGACGTGCGAATACGTACTCCATTGTCCAGCTGCACTATTCGGTGTTCGCATTAGTGTTAAAATTTACTCTCGGGTTTCTTTGCCGACATTCTTTAAGGTTAACGCAACTTTGCAATCACTAGCAGGCCATCTGGTTTGGTTTAGAACGTCATGAAAGAAATTTTACGGAACAAAGGAAGCACAAACACCGATGCCTGTGTTGATTAAAGTCGTCGTCGTAACCAAAAGCTTGTGTTTATTCGTTGCGCAGGCAAACAATGGTACGATGGATGAGCTTGATCTTCTGTTTAAAAGCAAGGCTAAGAAAAATGAAAATGAACGCCTAGTCACATCTGGAAGCACGGCATGGCACGTTCATTTCAGCCTGGCAGCCGCCGTTGGTAACATTGTTGTTAAAGAAACATCACAACGGGGGCACGTGTTCAGGTAACGACTTGGCTTTAACGATTGTGGGTCGATTATTAACGACACTGAGGCTGCCGCGAAAAAAAGTGGTGCAGTTGTCGTAAAATTGCCACTCTTTTGTCGTCACAATATTGACGAGTGGAGAAATGACACCTAGCGAAAAAAAAAAAAAAACGCCAGAGGCATGTTACTCAGCCAAGAACCACTTATGCAATGCAGGCCTTACTGTCGTGCAGTTTGCAAAGCGCTCATTTGATAATCTTCAAATTGCACGCGCTTAGATTTCAGTAGCCTCAGGCATAGTAGCCATTGTAACTATTGTGCTGTCGCATAGAAATAGGGCATGTTGATGTTACTACGGAAGAACTCTAGGCAAAACATTTTTTGTATTAACCATCAACCTTGACGTTGCTTTTCTTGGCTGCAAATGATAAAGTGTATTAGCAATCAAGCAGAATCACAAGCTGGTGCAATGAAGAAACGGCAACGGCACAAGGACAGACATGACATATAATAAAATGTTTGTGCGATAAGAAGGCCTGTCACCTAAGTGGAGTCCTTTCGGAGGAAGGTGCACCGGCATGTCCTGGCTGCCAGCCATCCGTTCTTTTGATAGTTGTCGCATCTAACACAGCGCCGCGTTAGCGTGGCCACCTGTTCTCGTCCGATATTTTAATTTTCGGCAGTACAGCAGCTTCAGCGTATATAAAAAAAAAAAACATTGATGCGCCACGCATGCAAAACGCGGCATTCCCCACACACTATATTGGCGGTGGCTGAACGGCCGATGGAGAGAGAGAGAGAGAGAGAGCGACAAAAATGCATCAGTTCGAGGCTACGCTCCTGCTATCCATAAAAATGACCTAGAGTATAGCATGGCAAGGGAGGAAAAAGAAATTGTGTGTGAACAATAATGGGAGGATATGCAAGAGAGATAGGAGGAAGGCGACGCTAAACCATCGCTAAACCAATCCTACTTAGCATAACACACCCATAGGTAGCAAGACATTGAAAATGGAAAGGAAGGCGAGGCGAGGGAAGGCAACGCATTTTGTTTTTTATTCGAATAAAGTGAACCAACTAACCTGACCCGCTTCCTTAGGCTGCTTAGCTTTGCAGAAGTTACGATTACTTTATAGTAAACCGATAACTTTACAAGTTTCGGCAGTCTCGTTGCTTCTTTACTGCAGTGAAGGTCGCTTGCCCTCTACACCATTGGTGTATGAATTCATGGTGCCGCCTTCAAGCTGTTCTTGTTGTTGCTGTCTCCGGGAACTGCCACTTCTCCTCAGCCAGCCGAAAACGAGTTTGTCGAGCGCTGCTGTCGGTGCCTCGCATGCGATGAATGCGAAGTACGACAGCAAGAAGCACCACACGAGCACGGCGAAGAGAAGCGTAACCTGCAGAATATTTCCGGTTTGATGTGAGTTCACACATTAGGAGAACCAACACGTTACGTGATGATAATCTTTGTAAGGACACATGACGTATATTCAAAGTAATCGACTTCGGAAACTTAAATTAAAACCTACGAGGCGTTGCTTAAGCTCCAACATAACCTCACTTACTTAGGTCTGGTGTTTCCGCAGGTCATCGCGTTCATTTAAATGCAGTCACAGTGACAGGTAACCGAACCCACTTCCTTGGGCTTGTGAGTGCAACACCTTAGTTACTAAGTATTCATGGTGATTTGAGTCGTCTCCGCACTCGGCATGAGGTTGCTGAAAAGACAGTTTTATCGATAAGAAAAACATGACAAAGTAATATTTAAAACCGCATGGTATTTGACCCTTAAACCCATTTGTCTGTATTCACGTAGTATTGCTGGGTAAGATATCGCAGGCTGTGTTTTTAGCAGGATGGCGCTCAAGGCAATTTCAATAAACGAGGCAAGAACACTTTGGCGGTATTATTTTATTATTGAAGTTATGAGAGTGGAGATCCCAAACGTAAGACAGCACTAAATAGAAAACAGCCATTTAATGCTAGTCAACACACAACAGCTCAGCAACATTAACTAATGAATGCAGCATACAAATAAACACCGCAGGCTTCCCACAAGCAGTGGAGGCTCCCAAAGTTAATCAGGTTGAAATCGGTTTTATTTTTATATTATAGTTTGTCGTACAATGTTTTACTATACTTTAAATCATTTTTTTCTTTTCACTTTTTTCCATAACGTAAAACGATGGGCTTCGTAGCTGCCCAAAATACGGCTTGTAGCACAGTTTATGTTTTTACAAATAAATGCGTCGCAATGGAGTACTTCTGCTCAAGTGGGAAATTTCCTTGTTTAGCACAATATCGTATGATGGTGTCGTCCCCCAAGATTTCACGAACATCAATTCCGTCACGTATTGCACGTCAGTAAAGTGTACATGAACAGGTGACAAACAAAAAGAAGATATATTTATATTGTTTTGATGACGTAGGACTTGAACCCACTACCTAATTATGTATGCCGGACCCACTAAGAACCTCGCTACCACCCAACATGTATGAGGCTTCCCATGCGTGTTTCAAAGATCTCACAATTTTTCTCTTTCCAGTGATCTGGGCTGGTGGCGCTGTTGTTACCATCCTGTGTCTAAAGTAGTGCCCCATGACAATAAATGACGGTGACAGAAAAAGCTTGAGTAGTTCAAAGCAAGAGAGGTCTAGTTGCCACAAAAAACACACCAGCGAGAAGAGGAACGCCTTTCACGTTCACGGCTCAAGCTACGGCTTCTGTCTCTCGTCTGTCTCAAGATCTATATCGTATATGTATCCGCACATGCATATGTTACGTTATGACTGGGAAGTGCACACTCTGGCGTTTCTGTAATCAAATGACGACGTTTTGAATAGGTGCATATCGAGTACTTGTGCTATGGGTTGGCTTATAACACTTTTGTACGATACTCGACATGTGCTGGATACAGGTGTGTAACTATATCACCTACCACAAAAATTAAAACACCATGTTTTGCGTGGGTCATCGGAGTGGAGTCGTGTCGTTTAGCGCATGCGTATCAAGCGATGCTGTAGGCGTCAAACACCAATAGACATTGCGCAAGCACTTATTCAGTGATTTATAGTCAACAATAAACTATACTCCTGTGAAGACACTGCTCACGTTTGCGCTGTTCCGAGTACAAAGATGTTTTTTTTCCAAGCAAGTCGAAAGAAGCGCACTAAATTCGGTCCAGGTGATTATAATTAGTACCCATGGAAGGTGGTCTCTCAAGCAAAATTCTTAAATTTCCCTGCGCTTCGTTTTAATGTGCCTGCTAAATTTCACTAAATATTCTCTCTCCTGAGAAGGCGAAGTTGCATTAGTCCACATTTATAATGTTTTTTTCCGGTCCAACGAATGAGCGAATATACGACCGGCGCTTTGCTTCAAGCTGGCAAGGACATAGAACATGTACGCGAAGATTATTGTGATGAGCTCAACTCATCAGGCAGCTCGCCATGACAGGTAGTTTGGATTAAGAATAGCACCACCATTATGGCATAGAGTGATAGTATTCATAATGATAGCTAGAGAACTTAATATTCTTGTCACCTGTTACATGCTTTTGTCAGACCTTTCTTGAACAGATGATTGGCCATCCTGAACATAGGAAAATTGAAAACGGAGAAAAAGAGCTGAGTGGAAGGGGCACCTCACAGAGATAAGTTAGCTCACCGATTTTCTTCAACATTGCAACGGTTCTACTATCGAGAGATCTTTCCAATGTCCAGGACATCAGTAACACGATCTACGCAGAAGACTTTAATTACTGTTTGATGCGCGGGAGGCACTGACGGACAAGTCGAAGCCGCTCTCCAGGAACTTGTCGATATAACAGAGCGCTTTCTAGAAGACACGGGACTCCGGTGTTCCCCCAACGAACCAGAGCTCCTTCTCTACAGCTCAACTAGAAAAGAACTCAAGCCAAAAAATGAGACCCGCCCCCCCCCCCAAAAAAAAACTACATTAATCTCTACAGCAAGTGTGGTGATCTGATTCTCAAAGTCTCATCTGTTAGAGTCTTGGGAATGACCCGCAAAACAGTGGGCACAAATTGTTTAACCATTCACAAAGTGTCAAATAAGACAAATAGCGTCATCATCTCATCAAGCGAATAGCTACCAGAAGGCGAGGCCTGAGCGAAGAGAACCTAATAAGGCTCTTGCAAGCTTTTTTTTATGCCGTATCATGTATGTAGTGGCAATGTACGCCTGGAAAAAGGCCGAGCGAGAAAAGCTTAATGCCAGGATAAGGAGGGAATTACCAAATTACACACGCACTGACCAGCTCCTGCAGTTGGGTATACACAATACCTATAGAAGAGATCGCAGAAGCAAAAGAGAGGGCGCAAACTGTAATACTCTCTGGCACCAGGGCGGGCAGGAGACTCCACGTAGAGATAGGCGTCCCACCCACCAAAGTTGAAGACACATGCCAGGGCCTTCCAGAAGAGCAAAAAGGCAATATCTTCATATCTCCCACCCAGAGCAATATGCATCCCTAGTGCAATGTGGAAAGAAGGAATGCCAGACGGAAGTGATTATAAAGTGATTATAAATGAAAAAAAGAGAAAAGTGAGCCCCATAACTGTCTCTCAGGGGTAAGGCACCTCAACAGTAGCTCACGAGAGATTGGGATAGAAAAGGGAATAAACGGATAGGTTCAAAAGGTATAGAGATAGAAAGAGACGAAAAAAAGCGAGGAGCAGGAACAGGCGCTGGGAGCGACGGAAGTAAGGAGAAGACAGGAAAGATGGACACGGTTTCAGGAGTCCGAGGACGGGGCACCACTGGCGAGAGCTCTTGTCGGCGACAGGAGATGGCGTAGGGCTAATCTAGTCGACCATAGCTGCACTGTCGTCGGAGATCGTGAGGGCACAACCGGTCGACACGAAATCCAGCGAGCGAGGAAGGCCAGAGTGGTGATGCTCCTACTTCGGATGAGAGAGCTTCCTGGCGGAATCTGCTTCGTCGACGGGGCTCAGTATGGCAACAGCAATAGTTTTGTAGCAGTATCGATCAGTCACAGGAGTTCTACCATTACCGCCGTTTCAGTACGATGCTCGTCCTCGTGTGCGGCCGAGCAAGAGTCTATTGCTTGGCACTTCTGGATGACAAACATGAACATATATTTAGGGACTATAGGACAGGCATCCGCGCCTTCAGCGTGGCATCCGTGCGTAAAAAAGCCCATCACATACTGGAAGGCAAAAACATCACCACCCCCACTCTCACGGGGTTTCCCGCTCACACGGGATCCATCAAGGAAGGTCCCCAAATCTGAACGAGCGGGCCCACTTGTAGGTGCGAGGTCTCACTTTCCACGATCATGAAAACACGCCCGCCACCCGCAGATGCGGAGAACGGACATCAACCAACCACTTATAAAAAAATTACGCAGCACTTCAATCTCGACGGAAAAGACTCCCCCCCCCCCCCTCTAACAAGAAATTAAATCGAGCGCAGACTTTCACTTTCAGGCGACTGCAGACAGCTTCGTATGCAAGCCCGGCTTTATTGCATAAAATGTATCCTCACATTTATCCTAATTGACCTTGCAGGCACTGCAACGAATTCACTGGACTAGACCGCATGCTCTTACGTTGCCCCTCGTTGCAGGGCGTGAACGAATCCAATAAAGACAAGTGGCCAAGTGGCTATCTGCTAGCAAGAGCCCCAGTTTCGGGAATCAACTGGGGGATGTCTAGAAAGCCCACGATGCGGTGGTTGGTCTTAACCTGACTGTCCCAACTTGGGAGCGCCCCACTGCGCGTTGCCTCATGCACCTCAGGACTTCAAATAAACTTTCGCCTCCACCCATTGACCTGTTACAATAAACATTCGTGGAGATTACTAATCGACTAAGGCACTAAAAAGTGAAATTTTGTAAAATCCACCGATCAAAAAACGGAGCACGCCCATTGCACATAGGCAGCTAGGCTGCTGGCGCATACTCTCGTACCCAGGTGGCCATCTTGTTTTAAACTGTCAAGGTATGTATCTCTGGCGCCAAGTAAACATGACAACCGGAGTCTGCGCAACTTTCCGGTGCGAGAAAGCTCCTATTCGTGCCGCTACCACCTACAAGAAGTCGTCCGGGCACCACTGCGCCCTCTTTTGATGCGAAAACAATCAGCGCAGAAGATATTATTCAGCACTTTCTGTGAAGGTCACAACTCAACGTGGCGATTGTGCCGATGCGGTGTTGTCAGACTGCACAAATTCCCATGAAAAAAAAAACAGAAAACGCCGAGCTCCGCCACTTGTGGATAATTGCCTCGAACAGCAAAAACTGCGAGCCTAGTAAAAGTGTGCGAGTAAGATTTTATTGTGCTTATTCAAGCGCGACGCCAGCTATCCCACTTTGCAGCAGCAATTAGCGTGCAGTACGCCTGTAAAATGTGGT